CTCTTTCCACTCCATCTCTCTCTCCCACTCTTTCTCCACTCCCTCTCTCTCCCAACTCCCTCTCTTCTACTCTCTCCCCACTCCCTCTCTCTATCCAATTCTTCCTCTCTCCCCACTCCTTCTCTTTCTCCCTCTCTTTCTCACATTCTCCCCACTTCATCTCTCTCCAACTCTCCCCACTCCTCTCTCTCCCACTCTTTCCCAACTCCCGGTCTCTCTCCAATTCTCTCCCCACTCCCCCATCCCCACTCTTACTCTCTCCTCATTCCCTCTCTCTCTCTTCTAGTAATGCACTCTCTCCCACTCTCTCTGACACACTCTCTGTACTCCATCACTCATCCCACACCCTCTCTCTTTCACCCACCCCATTTTCTCTTTCTCACACTCCATCTCTTTCTCCCTCTCTCTCTCTCCCCACTCCCTCAAACCATTGGCGGATTTAGAGGGGCAAGCCACCACCTCCTGTTTTTGTCCAAAATATACAAAAGATTTAATAAATTATTTTTTTCAGTGTGGGCGCCATTCCGACGACCTCGACACCCCTTCTCCTATTATAAGATTTCTTGATCCGCCATTGATACAGAATAGAACTTATTACCAATCAGAGCCTATTGGTCATAAACATACATGTATACAATGTAACATTTATAATAATTACAGATAAACATGATGAAGTAATAGACAGAAAACAACATATGATGAAGAGCAATTTTTCCATTTAAGGACAGATGATACAAACAAAAAATGGATGCCTGGCTTGGTATATATTTTTTGGCCTAATTTTATTGCAAATGATGCAAATAATACTTTCTAGAATATAAGGAAATTGTAAACCTTCTGTGATGTTCAAAAGTATATCCTTCTGAAACCATCCTTATTAATCTATACAAATATCTTTCATTTAAAAATCCATTTTTATCCAAATTTGAATAAAAAATTAAAAACAAGAGGCCCATAGGCCACATCGCTCACCTGAGTAATATGGCTAGGAAAAAAGCATAAATCAGTTTATTATTGAAAAGTTGAAACCCACTAGTGGTCCCAAACAATCCTTAAAAGGGAGAGGGTATGATATGAACAAACTTGAATCTACACTAACTAAGGATGCTTGCATATTTCTTAAACTACCTGTGGCTTTATTGCCCTTTACATTTGAACTTAAATTGTGGCCCCACCGTACACCCAGGGGTCATGACTTGAACAAAATTGAATCTACACTACCTGAAAATGCTTCCATATGAATAGGACTAATCATGGCTTTGCTATTTTTGAAAAGAAGATTTTTAAAGATTTTTTTCTGCATGTTTCTTTGTAAAACTTAGATTCCATGTTGTGGCCCCCAGGGGTCATGGTTTGAAAAAATTAAATCTACACTACCTGAGGATGCTTCCCTATAAATTTTATCTTTCCTGGCACAGTGGTTCTTGAGAAAAAGATTTTAAAAGAATGTTCCTATATATTTCTATGTAAAACTTTGGTCGGTCATTGTGGCCCCGCCCCACGCCCGGGGGTCATGATTTGAACAAACTTGAATTTACACTACCTGAGGATGCTTCCCTATAAGTTTCATCTTTCCTGGCACAGTTGTTCTTGAGAAAAAGATTTTAAAAGAATTTTCTATATATTTCTAGGTAAAACTTTGGTCGACCATTGTGGCCCCGCCCTACCCCCGGGGGTCATGATTTGAACAAATTTGAATCTACACTACCTGAGAATGCTTCCCTATAAGTTTCATCTTTCCTGGCACAGCGGTTCTTGAAAAGATTTTTAAAACATACCGTCAAATTTTTACTATTTCTAAATTATCTCCCTTTGAATAAGGGCGTGGCCCTTCATTTGAACAAACTTGAATCCCCTTCACCTAAGGATACTTCTTGCTAAGTTTTGTTGAAATTGGCCCAGTGGTTCTTGAGAAGAAGTCGAAAATGTGAAAAGTTTACGACAACGACGACAACAACAACGACTACAACAACGATAGACAACGGACAAATTTTGATCAGAAAAGCTCACCTGAGCCTTCGGCTCAGGTGAGCTAACTACGCGTTGAAAGTTATTCATTTTATTCATTTAAACATGATTCAAGTTGTTATTTTCAATTTCTTTGACAAAAGTTTGTTTTTATCATCTGTCCTTAAGTACATTTGTATACACAGTGTATATTGGTGGCATTTTTAAGTTTCATATGTAGACATGCACGATGTGCTGTTGTGCAAGTATGTGCATTTTTATCATTATTTATATATAGATACCCAAACAATGAATCAGATGATGATCAAGTGAAATAATCATAAAAACAAGAAATACAATATTCCTTGATATTTAATATCATTTATTACTCGAAATTGCATTGAAAATTAATTATCACCCTATTTACAATAAATCAGATTGAAATCCCATTTGGATCTTACATGTATTTGTTGTACCGTTATGTGGCCAATGCTTTTATCGACATGCAATTCTGTTGAGACATCGTGACAGTGCGTTAAAAATGTACATTAACATTTGAGTCTAGCATGGAGACACTTAACGCACTTGAAAAAATGTATAAAACAAAATTCTGGACTTTGGATTTTAGAAAAAAAAAATCGTTATTTTTAATATATTCGATCAGTGCATACTATTTATGCAAGATATATTACTGTATTCAGCGGCGACTCACACAAATTGGTCCGACCAAAATAGTTCCATCATGATAAGTAGATACAACATTATTATTCATGATAAGAGTAAAGTTGTGTTTGTCATACGTTAAAGAAATCAAAAATAACGTCAAAATATTATTAGAAAGTCACTTTCCCCCCGAAATGCAAATAAAAAATATCAATATTCCTACGCTCGCTCCCTCCTCAGCCTTTTTTTTTTTTTACATGTTTGATAACAGAGAATATTTAGGTCATTCTTCGATTCATATCTTTTCACCGATGAATTGATAATACTATATCAACAATTGTATTAAGTACATGTTTATAGTCCGTTAATTATCATACAATTTCTTCTTAAAGAAAAAATTAATCATTCTGTGTGTGTGTATTATTAAATGACGGAATTTTCAATCCCTGGCCGGATTCTGCTCGTGTGTACACTTTGTAAACCCTAGGGTATGTGTGGCAAAACGAGAACTGGGTTGGGGATTCGGGTTCGTGTTGAAGTTCAGCATACCATTTTATATAGAACTTGAATAATGTAAGTAATTTCTGCGACGAATACATTAGTATATTTCAGTAATTTTCAAAACAAAAAAGGTTTTCAGTTTAGAATTTTCCGACCCGGTCCTGATTTTCCTAACCCGGCCATTTTAAACACAAGTTGTTGCAGATGCAAATGTTAGAACAAACTATATATAGTTCAACAGGGATTGTATAATTTTTATTAATCAGAATTCGTATTCATATGATCTAATTAAGAAAAGAAAAGCATTGTCTGCCATCGTAACTTCTCGGCAAAACAAAACGTGTTTCTCCGAGCTCGCTGGATGCGTTTGACAGCTCCATCGCACGTGTGTAGACCAAGGCTAATGTTGGTCTTGCGGACACAGGTATACATGTAGGCCTATGTGTACTGTTTGTTAGGAGACTGGGTGACCGTAATGCTATGGACTCACGAAATTTACAACAGTTCCATAATTAGACAGTGCAGTTTTTTTTAACGTACGTCATTATAAACACTGTTAAACATATTAAATCTAAAAGTCGAATATCTTTGGATATGGGGTAACCCATATCTATTCTTGTTATACATTTCTTTCGAAAAAAAAACTTCAGTTGATTAATTTTAATACCCTAGCTCGATCATCGAGAACGAGAAGACAGTAGATTGTCTCTTCAGTTTTACGTATGGATGTGATCTGCAAGTCACATCTTGTGTCCTTTATTTGTCCCTCGTTTCGTGAAAGCGAGGGGACATTAAATCTCATTCGTCTGTAAGTCTGCCAGTCTGTCCGTCTCCCACAAAAACTTTAACCTTGGTCATATCGTTTGAATTGGAAGAAATAGATCTTTCATATTAATACACACGTACTCGTGACAAGACCTTTCTAAATACACTACAAGTCTTTATCCCGTTACCTTGACCTTGACGTTTGACCAGTTGCCAGTGAAAGTCCTTTCTCTCTATGAATGTTGACCTCGTGACCTTGACCTTGAAATTTAACCTACTTTACAAAAATGTTCCTTATGAGTTTTGATTTTATTTGACAGGCGTGTGGCAAGATATTTCCAAGAATTCTTTGATTTCTGAGTTTTTGACCTGAACCTCCATGTTTGACCTAATTTTTTCCCAAAACACCCCCAAAAATTTTGGTGATAATTCTTGAATGACATAATATAAAAAGTCGTTCATCATATTTGACACAACCTAAACAATGACATATTACCCACAAAGACATTTGTTAAATAAAGAAATAAAAATTTGAATAAACATAACAGTGATCCCAACTGAGTTTTTTTTTCGTATTTAATATAAATAAATCATGAGACATTTTTGAAATCCTTTGATAGAAGTCAACCGATATCTTCATGTGCATGAGAGACTGAACGAAATACATGGTAATTGATGAGTTTACTGATACGAAACTGTGACGTAAATCGTGTCGAATGTGGTTACACACCTTATTATCCCCTCACATAGGAGTTAGAAGAGGATTTGTACCGCGCTCGGTGTGTTAGTTAGGCAGTGCGTGTGTGTGTATGTGTGTTAATTTGTCCTTATGCCAAACAGAAGTGACGCTGTACTAAAGAATATACATGTAACATATTATTTTCCTTTACATTTTAATATATGTAGATGCTAAATATAATAAAATAAATGTAATGTCTTCTGATTTGATGTCTTAACGACTAATGTAAATCCGCGATTCAATTTGAGATTAATTACCTTTTTTATGGTGAACCAATGTTTCCTTAACATTTAGGACACTCTTCCTTGTTAAATCCTAATCACTCTTAGGAACGTGATGGATCAGATTCAATAACGCATGTAATGTTTTAACGTAAGCCGTATGATATGTAAACTTAGTTATTTTAGTTCGGACTGTTACAAAATGCAGGTGGGTATTTTTATCCTTGTTTTGTTTTTGATACCTTTGGTCTCATCCTTGGTGATACAAGGCCCTGAAAGCAGCCAAACTCTTCCTGCTGGAACTCAAAGAGCGACCTTAAAGACAAATCTGGGAGAATCGTCAATAAATCCAATAGCAGGTTTTGGAGCTTCTTCTTTCGGAACACCACAAGGTTCTTTGGGAACGCAGGGCTTTTCCAATGGATTCGTTACCGGTAGCAACAGTCCATTTCCACCTGGTTTTAGCGGTTTTCCTTCAGGGAGGGATAACTTCGGACCGTTTAGTGGCTCTTTCAGTGGTCCAGTTAGTGTAGGAACACCACGGTCCAATACTGGCCGCAGTCCTTCATCAGTAAGTTCTCGGTTTACAAACTTGCCCGTTGGTTCAAATCCTTTAGATCCTTTCCTTGGAATTTCACCAATAAATACGGGTCGTAGTGTATCACCCATACGTCCACGTACTGGAAATATACCGGTAGGCACAAGACGGATAGGACCGGTGAGTCCTATCCATATGTTCCCGGGTTTTATCGGTAGTCACCGTCAGGATGTATCAGTCGGTTCAAACCGTCACAGCACACCACACAATCCCCATCATCATGATGTACCGGCCACTTCACACACTCATGATCCACACCATACCGATGTAATTGTAAAAGATCACCATGGTCATGATGTTCCAGTGAACCCTCACCATACCGATGTACATGTAAAGACAGATCATCATCATCACCATGAAGTAAAAGCTGTACACGTGACAACAAAGAATCATCGTGGTGAAACAGTGCATGTAAATCCTCATCATGGTGATGTGCATGTATCGAAAAATAACCACCACCATGATGTACCGGTAAATCCTCACCATGTTGATGTTCATGTATCGAAAGATAATCACCACCATGATGTACCGGTAAATCCTCACCATGTTGATGTTCATGTATCGAAAGGCAATCATCACCATGATGTACCGGTAAATCCTCACCATGTTGATGTTCATGTAACGAAAGATCATCATCATCATCATGACGTCCCAGTTAATCCTCATCATGGCGATGTCCCGGTGAGCTCTCATGGTCCTCATGCCGGAGATGTTCACGTGGATGATTTTAATATTTACAGTCCTAGACATAAGATTGGAGACCTTGTACCGATCAATCATCATGGTCCACACCCACCACCGCCGCCCGCATTAAATGGCCCGGAATGTCAGTTCAGGTGAGTTGATAATTATATTTAGATAGGTCAAAACTCACCACAAATAAGTGTACTTGTCCTTCAAGATATATGGATTTTTTTCAAAAATGACGAAGTCGTTTTTAAAAGTCATTTATCCATGGGATATTCTCTCTTCTTATCCTTTTTGTTCCCCACTTTCGAGGGGGGCATTACAGAACGTTCATATTACACATGACATGTGTATTACCTGTGACAAAATCTTTCTAAATACACTTTGATTTTTGACCTCTTGACCTTGATCTTATGTTTAACATTCTCAAACATGAATCTTGATCAAATATTTTAAATGAGAAGAAAGAAGGCTTTCAGTCCTTTCACATTTCAAATTTATATTTCCTCTGACAAGACCTTTCTAGATACACTGAGATTTTTGAGATCGTGACCTTGACATTACAGTTTAATCTACTTTTCAAAAATGTTATTTTTTCCTCATAACATTTTAGTTTTATGGAATAGAGACAAGGCTTTCATATAATTGACATGTGCATTATTATATGTTAAAAGATATTTATGTTTTCTAACCCTTGACGTTTATGTCTAACCTAATTAAACTGAACTTTGTTGATAACTCTTAAATGACATGTGATATGGCGTTCATATTTGACACAATATCCCATTAATAATGACTTAAAGACACCAAAAATGGGTATCTACACTCCTTTGAATTAGCTTGATCTATTATATGTTTGTATAGAGCAGTGAAAACGATCTATGTTGATTTTTCATGCAATTCTGAGATACTTCTACATATTATATGGTTAGACAATATCACTTTACTACATGTAGTTTTGAATACATGTGCTTGGAATCTAAGAAGTTTTGCTTCACTGCTTGATTTGCGGGTTATTCAATGCAAGTAGCACCAAAAATACAACTTATTTCAAATTTTGAACTTTAGTGGTTGTACCATAGGCCAGGAGTGTGTGATAGCCAAGACCATGATCACACGGAGTGCCACTTTGTGCCCCCGGGCCTACAGCGGCAGATGCGTTTGTGTCCCAGGATGCATCCACGACCAGAAATTCATCCCCCATGCCTATCTTAAATACGAGGGGAAATGCAAATACTGCAAGTGTTTTCCAGATGGTCGGGTAAATATTTTTTTCTGTCTTTGTAATATCTCTGCATTTTGCAGTATGCAAAATATGTCACGGTGTCTTTTGCAATGTGAAACATCTATGTAATAAATATTTCCAAACCAATTCAAGGTTGAGTGCAAAAGATCCCGAGCATGTATGGCAAAAGTGGAGGATCAAAGAATTCATAGACGGATTCGAAAAACTCAGAGGAGGAATCGACCTAGAATAAATTTAGGAGGGATTCTCAACAGATTTATGGAAACTCTGTTTGGAAAGAAATAGCTTCATTTTGCAATTTACATTGTAAATCGTATTTTTATCGAGGCAACTTGTTCTTTCAACTCGTGTTTCCAACAATGACATTGGTATGTACATGTAAGCCTGATTATAAGCATTAAAAAAAGTATCGTGACTCGTGAACAAAAACAGTTCTAGTGTGCGATCAGACAGTATAGGTAAAGTATGTATTTTGATGTCAAGAGATTGAAACAGGTCAAAATTCTTTATAGCAAAAACAATGTGTTTGTTTCTTTTGAAGTACATGTACAAACATTGAAGTTTAGTAAAATACTTCCTGCTAACAATTGTGTTTCTTCCGAACAAAAAAAACTCAATACAGTTATAGAAATATTAAGTTTAATTCTACACTTTTTCTTTATCTGTTAATATTAATATGATTTGTCATACATATTGTATCATCCAATGGATGGACGATTTTCATTCATAAACTGTTTTTCTAAAATGTTACGTTTTTCATTTTCAATAAAACGGTATAATTCACTGTTTTGTTTTGCTTTTAATATATGTTTTATCTAAATACGAAATGAAAAAAATGAATCGTTATTTTGGTGGGAAGGGGTGAATAATATTTCGGTCAATATTTCTAAAACGAATGCAAAACATGTGTTCAAGTACATTAATCCAAATGTTACATCATTCATCAAATTTAACATCAGTATGCCAAAGAAGAAAGGCTAAAGGCAAAAAATTAAGAAAGTCAATATCATGTCTTTTTTATACATAACTTAAATACGTATATAATAATAAGTCTAGGGTCTGCTCAAGCGAATGGGCAATTATATTACAATGAAAGTACTCGACATTTTAGCTTTGTACTTCATCATTAGTGTTATACCATTTTCGAATGGATTGTTTGATACACAGCGAAAGTTGTTTCGGGCACACCAAAGTCAAGGAAATAATCTGAATGTTCAGAAAAAATCGGGAGAATTTAGTAATCCATTTGGCAACAGACAGGATGATGGAAAGCAAGAATTGTCACAGAGCAACATTTTAAATTTACCTGCCAGTCCTAACACTGTTAAAAAGCCAAACAATACTCGGAGAAAATTTACATCGAGAAGATTTTGGTTGAAATCCCGAATTGGCAACAAAGGACGCGGAGAAAATGACGAAACGAACAAGGAACCTCCTCAAAATCAAGGAGCACATTCGAATCCATTTTCTAATCAAATTAAAAAGCAAAAGATTGTGAATCAAGTAACCGATACCAAAGCAAACACTGTCGAACCGGAGGAGGACCAAAGAAATGACATCGAACCGGAAGTGATTCAAACAAATATAGGAAAATCAGAGTCTGTGCACATGATTCCGGAAACAGGGGAACATGTAGGCAATGGTAAAGATCTAAACTCTTTTCGGGAGTCAGACTTTGAATTTGGGGGCGAGAATCACTTTGTGCCTTGTCAATGGGGGTAAGTAAAAACTTGTTCATTTATGTATGTTCTTTGTTTTTGCTAATTTAATGATTATTGTACGTTTTATTTTGATTGAACATTTTAAACTCACCTACATTGTAGATGAACAGAGTAATAAGTGAATGTTTACAATAAAGTATTTTTTTTTTACATCCATATTGTATATCATTGTTAAATAAAAAATTAAAAGTCCGTGGTTGAAGAAATATTGAGCTCAAGAATTTGAAATTAATACATAGTGTAGGACATTAATGAGGAGGTGTCTTCCTACCTCAAAAACTATGAAAATTGAGCCCCAACGAAATTTAGTGCTTTCAAAGTAAACTTGTATGAACGCATGTCCATTCATTTAAAAATGTCAGCATGCAAACAAGTGCTGTTTTTATCATCAGCATCAAATTAAGTTACAGGAAAAAAAATCGTTGTTATGAATCTTTTGTAAACCCAGGGGATGTATCAGTGACTACAAATGTATGCGGTTTGTTAATGGCCACCCAGTCGTCTGCCATGAAGACAGTACCGAGACTTGTCAGTGCATGAGAGGTTCGAGTTTTACTTTGGCGTCTATATGTATGGATTGTTTGAGTTTTTGTTTTATAGTTTTCTAGACGATATTATTGAAAAAAGAGACGGCAATAGATTTAACTGACATATTTTTGATATTATAAGGGAAATGATAATTATTTCGATAAGTTTGAAAATGATATTGTTCATATCATAGTAATACATGTATAATCCATCAGTGAAGTTTAAAATTTAAAATTTAATTTTAGTAAAATCTCTGAGGAAACAAAAAGTCATTTCTAAGACAACCAGGACTTGGAAAACATCTATACCGGAAACGGAATTTAATAGAGGCCATGATCCCTTGGATGTTCCGGAAAACATGGAGGTTGGAGAAGAAACTCTTAAAGGATTGCCGTGTCAGTATATGTAAGTATATTCCAGAATATCAGTTGTATAACAGGTTTTGTATGTTACAAATCTTATTTTCATTGCAATATTTGACATGTAGAGTAATGTTTGACTCCCCATGCAATATTTGATATACCACATAAAGACATAACATTTAATTTCAAAATTATGAAATGTATGGGTTTTTTTTCTCCTCATAGAGGATGTTTGGAGAAAAGCTTCAAATGCATGACAATCGTGAAAGGTCAACCAGTCCAGTGTAATACAAAAAGTGGAGATATATGCCAGTGCATGAAAAGTATGTATCCAAAAAAAAACAATTAAACTGGTAATTGATTCAAACTCATCTTCATATGAATTAAACAAAGATATAATTTATAATTTCTTCAGTATTTAGTATCTCTTTTCTATTGACTCTATAATTGAAAATGTGATTTTATTTTCTTTACATAGAAAAAGCTAACAAGCCGGAAAAAATTCGCGGCATTCCAGCTTTTTCAAGAGATCCATTCCCATCGCAATCGAGCTCGGCATTGCTACCAAACTTCATGGATACTGAAAAAGAAGAAATTTCCTGTCAGTTTTGGTGAGCTCTAATTGATTTTTCATATATTACGAGTATATAACTGTCGCACTGTTATAGTTGATGTAAAAGCTGATATTGAACCAAATAACCCAAAATACAAATCAAGTCCGTCCTCTTTAACATGCGATATGTATCGACATTTCTTGATGAATGTCAGTAGAAAAACCGTTTATAAGAAATGGACATCATTTCAAATATTTGCTTTAAAATTTCAGTTTCTTTTTAAATAGGGGATGTGAACGTGGAAAAGAGTGTTTATTGGTTGTTGATGGACAAAGGACAAAATGTACACCTAACACTAATGCCAAATGTAGTTGTAAGAGAAGTGAGTATATTTCTCCCATTGTTGCCTTATGTTTTCAAAACACGTATACAGCTCAAGAACCTTCTAATCTAACATGCTACTATGAACATGTTAATTAATCAAATTCTGATTTTGAAGCTTGTTATACTACAAAACAAAGTCGTAAAAAACGATGAAGGATGTATCTCCTTGATGACAGGTCGCACCTGCCATAAGCCGTATACTTGTACAAATGTATAAATATAAGAAAAATTGAAAATTTATATGGTCGTTAGCTTCAGAAAGGCCTGACATACATTAGATAAAATACGATCCGGTGCTAGGCTAAATTGTTTACAAGGTCTTTTTAACGAACATAGAATTTACGACTTCTGACTTTTAGCGAGGTAATATTAATTGAAACTACTGTAACTGCAACTTAATTGTCAATAATATGTCCCGGTAAACAATTACATTTGTACATTAACTGTCTGTTACATTGATAATTTACTTTTCCAAACATGCACAAAGTTTCTCACCTTTCTGCATTAATAACATCGTAATGGGGATTGAAAACGCTATATAATTAATTTTTTTACAGATAACATTTTTTCTTATTCAAACATAATGATTCACTACGTATTTTCCTCCAAATCTCTTTCTGTACAATTCTCAAGGTAACATCGAAAATGCCACGTCTTACTGAAAGTCCAAGGCTAGGTTAACTGAGAATTGTATTACATGTATATACATGTACTTGACATAGTTTAAAACCATGGCGTTTTAACTTTAACCCTAGATATTTCAGATGGGTTTAGATTATGACTGTAGATTTGAATAGTGAAAAAATGGGGGGGGGGATTGGAGAATTCATAATGTTTAAGAAAATTTAACAACAAAACTTTATGAAAAGTGTTAACTTTGCTTACAACTCGCATCTAACTTTGCTTAAAACTCGCATCTAATTTATTGTGTATCATTTCCTGTCATATAAATATCCAAGTTAACCTATCAGTTTTAACACACTTAGTTCATTAAAAACTAGAACTCTCGGCTATTATCCGTCATGCCCTGCTTTGGGTGACAGATAAATGTATTCATGCTAATTAACATATAACAATGCTATAACGATCCAAATGTGAAAAAAGATAAAAGTGTCAAAATAAAAAAGCATCATTCTTCTGAAGTTGACGGATTAACTGAAAATTAATGTCATAAGATTGGATTGTTTGTGAGAAGGCGTATGTTCAAATAAATGAATCTGAGAATCGTATTGTAACAGATGTACAGTCGCGTGCCAGATTAAAAGTCACAAAATGGCTGAAGTGCTATGTAGAGCTGAATAATTGTCTTCGTTCATGACTACACTGTATATGACATGCATCTCTAAATCTAATAAAGTTACTTACATTACAAATATTTCTTGTAGATGTGACATCTGCTGGATTGAGAATTTCATAAGATATACATGTATTATTAATAAGTGTACAAAATTCACTTCTTAGTTGTTTATAAAGATGACATACAAATAAAAAATGATGTCCATCTTCAACGACATTTAGACAATTAATACAATATCTTTCATTTTTTGATATAATTGGGTTACAATATCTGCCAACCTCTGTCTGTAATTTGTGGGCACTTATTCTCAATCGAGTCAAAAAAGAACGAAGATTCTTGGAAATAGAAAAATTTAAGTATGGTTGTATTTCAAGTTTGTTTAGATTCCCTTGACTTATTAACTGGCTGTAGAATGATAATTTGCCATTACCTTTTTCTCTGATATTTATTATATCCTTTAAAACCATATTCTCAAAATATTTTTTCAAATTATTTTCAAAATCATTTATTGATAATGTATTAGGCCTGGCATTTGAACCAATAACTTCATCAAGTATAGTTTGTATACAGTTTTGCTAACATGTTTTTCCAAGTCCTGCAAGTTTTTCATCCTCTAAATATGCATGTTGTAAAAGTAAGTTTGAATTCTCTTGATCTGAAACAATTTTCTGTATTCTATAATAATATCTAAATAATAATTTATAAACTCTGAAAATAATGGGAAGTGCACCAAACTCTACTCTAACTGTTTAATTAGAAGCTTTATTATGGACCCCTAAAATGTCTTTCAAGAGGAAATTCTGAATTTTTTCAAATGGAGTTTTATCAAAGCCTTTTGTAATTTTCTTAAAATCACTTATCCAGATTTCAGAAGCATGTTAAAATTGGCATAATGCATGATTCATATATCTTAAACTGAGCCTTTCCTGAGAGATTAACATTGTTTGGTAATTTTGATTTGATCATAAAATATGCTTTCCTTGCTCTACCTGCTAAATTCTCAATTTCAATTTACCATTATTTTTTAGAACAACACCCAAATATTTATATTCATCAACAAAATCAATAACATCTTCTTTAAACTTCATTGTTTTACAACTCAATTTTTTAAAGTTTTTACTAGAAAAAAACCATAGCATTAGTTTTTTGTGTATTTACTTCTAGCTTCCTTTCACAACAATATCTTTCCAATGAATCAAGACATTGTTGTAGCCCATCTACTGATTCAGATACAAGTAATAAATCATCTGCAAAAAATAAGCTGTTAAAGTTCATGTTGTTCAATTGAACAGGGCATGTTTTTGAAGAATCTAAATATTTTGTAAAATCATCAATAAAAATGTAAAAAAGTGTCGGACTCAAATTGTCTCCTTGTTTTACTCCACGATTTGTAGGGAAAAAAATCACTAAGAACATTTGATTGTTTAACAGCGCATACAGTAGTAGAATATACATGTTCAATAATTCTATGAAAATTACCTCCAACACCTTTATTTAAAAGCTTATGAAGAAGACCAGGTCTCCACAGTATCGAATGCTTTTTTAAAATCAATAAAGCATGCATATAACTCTGTTTTTTTTTTTTTACAGAAAACATATTTGTTAATTAGTGTTTTTAAAACAAATATATTATCAGTTGTACGATGTTGTTTTCTAAAGCCAGATTAGAAAGGGCTTAGAAGAGAATTACTTTCTAGATAATCAGATAGTTTTCCTAGACAACTATTTACACTCAAACCCCTGTAATTGTTACAATTATTTGGATCACCCGATTTGTGAAGAACCGTAATAAATGACTGTCTCCATGCTTGTGGTATCTTACCAGTATTAAGAATTTTATTAAATAATTTTACCAATGTTAGTAGGAGAATATTAGAACTTGTTTTTATAAACTCATTTAGTAATGCATCCACTGACTGCCAGAACAGCTCAGATCCGCTTTGATACGGATTGATACAAAGTTTAAATAAGTTAGAGATAGAGAGGTTCAGATTTCTAAAAGATTTTCAATTAGGTCTTGTCAAGTTTTTAACAGAGGAATCCTTTTTTGAACTTTTATTTTCACAGTTCTCCAAGTATTTTTGATATTGTTGATATCTGGAGATTGTGGAGGCCAAGTCATGGTGTTGATACCCTGTAAAGGGAATTCCAATTTTAAAAGAAAAGATGGTTGATAAATTGAATTGACGCTTCAATAAAAAATGAATACTTTACATTTCACATGTGGCTACTACATGTATTAAAAAAACGGACATTGTTTAGATAAATTAAAATAATAGGCAAGGATCTTAAGGTAATGCAATGCTCAAATCTGTTTGAATCACTGTTCCAGTAAATGGGGAAAGACCTGAATCAGTATAACTGTTATAATTCTTAGGAAAAAATGTAATTGTCTTTCATTTAATTAAACATAGCCAAAACTTGTATGTTTAAGCTTGGTTTGTACATGTAAGTATGGTAACTTACTGGTATGTATGTCTGCATTTTTTTTTTAATTTATATTTCAGTATTGACAGAATATAATTTGCATATTATATGTTGATTATTCCATTTGGACATAGTTTATTAAATCGGTTTCCAACTTAAGTTCAGATGAAAATTGGCTGTATTTAATTTCCTGAATGGTTTTTATTTTAAACTTTTCATTTCCTACATTTTTAGCTCACCTGAGCCGAAGGCTCAAGTGAGCTTTTCTGATCACATTTTGTCCGGCGTCCGTCTAGCTGTCCGTCTGTCTGTAAACTTTTCACATTATCGACTTCTTCTCAAGAACCGCTTTGCCAATTTCAACCAAACTTGCCACAAAGTATCCTTTGGTAAAGGGGATTCAAGTTTGTTCAAATGAAGGGCCAGGTCCCCATTCAAGGGGAGACAATTAGAAATTAATGAAAATTTGGTGGCATGTTTTAAAAATCTTCTTCTCAAGAACCACTGTGCCAGGAAAGATGAAACTTATGGGGAAACATCCTCAGGTAGTGTAGATTCAAGTTTGTTCAAATCATGACCCCCGGGAGTAGGGCGGGGCCAAAATGGCCGACCAAAGTTTTACAAAGAAATACATAGGAAAATTCTTTAAAAATCTTCTCCTCAAGAATAACAAAGCCATAATTGATCATATTATAGGGAAGCATCCCCAGGTAGTGTTAATCAAAGTTTGTTCAAATCATGACCCCCAGGGGTAGGGCGGGGCCAAAATGGCCGACCAAAGTTTTACATAGAAATATATAGGAAAATTCTTTAAAAAATCTTCTTCTCAAGAATAGCAAAGCCAATTTTGATCATATTTATATGGAAGCATCCTCAGGTAGTGTAGATTCAAGTTTGTTCAAATCATGACCCCTGGGGGTAGGGCGGGGCCAAAATGGCCGACCAAAGTTTTACATAGAAATATATAGGAAAATTCTTAAATCTTCTCCTCAAGAATATCAAAGCCATAATTGATCGTATTTATATGGAAGCATCCTCAGGTAGTGTAGATTCAAGTTTGTTCAAATCATGACCCCCAGGGGTAGGGCGGGGCCAAATGGCCGACCAAAGTTTTACATAGAAATATATAGGAAAATTCTTTG